AAAAAAAATGGGGGTTTTCAAACAAAAAAAATTTAATTTAAAAAAAAAAAAAAAAAAAAAAAAAAGCAGATCTGGGTTGCATTTTCGGCCTCTCCAAATTGCCCATAGGTGTGAGTGTGTGTGTATGCATGGTTGTTTGTCCTGTGTGTCTCTGTGTTGCCCTGGGACAGACTGGCGACCTGTCCAGGGTGACCCCGCCTCTCACCCGAAACGTTAGCTGGGAATAGGCACCAGCGACCCTCCCGACCCCAATAAGGGATAAGGGTGTACAGAAGATGGTTGGATGGATGGGTTGCATTTTCTTGCTGTGTCAATGTATTCTTAGAGTTTTGTCACTTTTGGCATCCCGTCCTTAGAGCTGTCATGCTGGATACTTCACTTTACTACCCATTAAAAACTAATTCATAATTTCTGAGAAGTATGCAGTGCATGCGTCATGGTTCCTTAGATTAGCTGGTTTATTATAATCTGCTGGTTTATTGTTTATGGGAAAAGTTGAAGAAGTCAAATAAAAACTGTGGTTTGATTTTGTGAACCATTTTACTCACAATTTCATTCATTTATGTAATTATTTTCAAACTGTGGTTTCTCTCACTGATTTCTGTTACAAATAACATAAAAACAGCTCATAATTACTCTGTATAACTCAGGTTCTTGTAGGATAAAAATATTATTTTCTCACAGTAAACCTTTTTCTCCCTGCAGCTCCGCCCTCATGCCTTGTGACTCCTCCCATCTGGCTAAAGATCTCGCCATCCCACTCGTCAACCAGTGGTCCACCATCACAAACAACCAAGGTGATGTCAAGCTGTTCCGCAGGTAAAACCTCTTTGCACTGTAAAATACTGTTTCTGGATGAATTCATTCAAATTATTTATGACTTCACAGCAAAAACACAAACTCTTTAGTCTAGTTTCAAGTAAAATATCTTGGTGCACTTGAAACAAGACCAAACTAGCTCATAAGTAACTTTTCAGCAAGATATAGGAGCTTGCTTCAAAAATTTTCTAAGATATTATTGACTCAAAAAAACTCATATATCTTGCTTAAAAGTTACTTGTGAGTTAGTTTTGTCTTATTTCAAATGCACTAAGATATTTTACTAGAAACTAAAGTACTTGGTAAGACTTTGTGTTTTTGCAGCGTTATTATAGCTTATTTTTTGTGTTTTTCGTCAAGGAGGAGTTTCCATAGCCTGGATCAACTTTCTCCTCAGGTCAGTCTGAACTCCGACTCCCAGAAAACGGATGGGAGGCAGAACGGAGATGCTGACTGGACCTCAGCGGGTAAAACTGCTGATGCTGAACATTTACCATGCATTATGTTTTACAGTCGGTGGTGCAGTGCTCAAACTCAAGATACAGCAGCTTGTTTTAAGTCAATAATTCCTTAATATTGATTAAAAAGTTCAAGTTCCACTGGTACATTATTTCACTTACAACTTGACTTTTTTCCCTTGTTATAAGTGTGAAAATCTGACCGTCAAACCAGAACTTTTTCATCAATATTAAGGAATTATTCACCTAAAACAACTACAATATCTAGCTGAAAAGTTACTTGTAAGTTAGTTTTGTCTTATTTCAAGTGTACTAGACCAAAAGTACTTCGTAATTTTGTGTTTTTGTTGCGTAAACCAAAACATAGGACAGTAAGAAAAATCATGATGAACAAACTCCTTGATGATACAAATGAATTGGAAGAATAAACAAACCAATTTTGACAAAGTCCACATGTGTAACAATGTTAAAATAAAATCCTGCTGCCTTTCCACGCCTCGGATCGCTGTATAAAAGCCTCATAGTAGCAGCCACCCATGCTTATATCTGCACAAAGGCCGGTTTCATCCCACCGTACGCTGGTTTGCGTAGGCAGCGTAAACTATTCACAAACTTGGGATTTTCTGGTGTTTTCTGCAGGAAAAGACAACACTCCCTCCATGCTGGGGCTCTGCGGCTCGCTGGCCTCCTTACCGAGCTCCAAGTCTCTGGCGAGCCTGAAGTCCAGCGAGTGTTTGGTGAACATCAGCACTGAGCCCAGCCCTGCGCTCTCTCCCAGCTAGGAGCCCCCAGAGCAACAACTTAACCGCCCCCTAACCGATGCTGCGTCGACCAAAACCTGCCACATTCCCACGTTGATTAAACAAAAACAGGAACGTTAAGGCATCACATCTGGATTTTTACGCTCCAGGAAGCTGTTTTTTCCCGTATATTCTGTTATTTCAGATCAATCCACACATCTAAAAACCATGCAACACATCTGTTTACCTCTTTTTTTTTTTAAATATCAATAGTCTTGCCACAGCTTTGTCTGTGTTTGCCTGTTCTGTTGAATTATCATGTGAAAAGTATAACCAAAACAGCACAAGAAGGTGATTTTAAGAGTAACATTAAGACATGTGGATGTCGGAATACACTCAGCAGTATTTTCTAAATAGCATGACTGAATGAAACCGGCTGAAAATCCGCTGACAGTGCATTATATTCTGGTTTTAATTCTTTAACACCACAAACCTCTCCAGTATTCATCGGTTTTATACAGATATAAGCTGCTGCATAAGATTCGTTTTGATTTTGACCCAAAATCGTTTTGATTTTGACCATTTAGTTTTTGGTACAGCAGTATTTTCTTCTCACTTGTCTACAGTTTGAATTTTTCTGTTGCAATAAACTGCCTTTTTCCATTATTTGTGTCTGAGCAAAAACATGTGCTGAACATTACTCTGGTTCCATCTAGTGGTAGACTTGTATGTTGTTTGAAACCATTTCGACCACACTGCAAAAACACAAAATCTCACCAAATTTGTGTAGTTCCTACTCCGAATATCTTTGTACACTTGAATAGCTTACAAGTGATTTTTCAGCAAGATATAGGAACTTATTTTAGGTAAATAATTCCTTATTATTGGTTTTTAAAAGTGTTTCTTCCATTGGGAGATTATTACACTTATAACAAGACATTTTTCCAATTTTATCAGTGAAATAATCAATACAAAATGTTTTCACCTCAAAACCCCCTCAGCTTATTTAAATTATATGCATGACTACATGAAAAAAGATAAATCCACTTAAATTATTTGATTAAAGTCAACATTGTAATTCAATATAAATCCAAATATTCACTGAACTTGAGTTTAGTTGAATATTAGCCAAACCTTTGCCAAAGTCAAGTTATATTCACAAATTATTTTTCCCCAATTAAATACTAAGTTACACTTTACATTGTGTGTTATATTTTCACTATTTTGACTCTTGTGGACTATACTGAAGTTTTACATTGTACCTAATGGCTAACGTTTGTCCGTGACGTGTGTAATAATGCGCCATTTCGGCGATATTAAGCTTACCGGAAGCAGCGTACGTAAATAACCATCCTTCATCGCAAAGAGAGAAGTACGGAGCCGAACACGATGGCTGTTGATGCTAATTAAATATTTGGAAGCGTGGCTAACACGGACTGAAAGGCTTCGTCCACGTCCTCCGACACGTTGACTATGATTCCAAAACAGTGCAGGAATTCGACGTCAACGTTCACAACTTCCACATCTGTTCGCTGATTGGCTGGATAGAAATTCTACCGGAAGCGGTCTTTAAGTCCTCGACCGGCAGTCACGGGTTCGAGTCCCGGCCCGATTACCTTTCAGACCTTTCTTTTCTTCCCCCTTTCTCACAACCCACTTTCTGGTATGGTAGCTGCTAAATAAATTCAGCTAGAGCTGACAAAACCTTAAAAAAAAGAAAGAAATTTTACCGCAGGGAATCAAAGTAAATGGGAGAAAGTCCAGATGTTAACTAGAAGTTATGTATAGATGTATAAATGTGCAATAACTCAAGATTTTTTTTGCTTAAAAGTATTACGGTATGTAAAATATAAGGACAATGTGAGGCCACTGTGAACTCCTGTAAGGTCTGGGTTTAAATCAAGGGCGTAGGTTCGGT